ATATATATATATATTTGTGTGTGTGTATATATACATATATATACATAGACACACACACATATACATATGTATCTCCTATCTTTAATTATTGACTATCTCATTATCTGACATTTCATATACACAACAACAGTATAAAATTAACTGTGTGATTATTTCTCATATTAACAATGTACATCTGGCAGTAATGAATGACAAGGTATGAGGCAAGAGTAACACTGGCTGTGATGGTTAAGACTATGTGGCAACTTGGCCAGGCCATGATTCTCAGTGGTTTGGCAGTTATGTGTGATGTAATCTGGCAGTTATATAATGAATGGTGTAGCCATTCTCCATTTTCACACAATGTTGATTTTCACATAATATGGTCTTTGGAACCTAACCGTGTTGGTAAGTGAGTTTAGGTATATATATAGAGAGAAAGACATTATGCAATAGATTTTAAATATGTGGCATTAAAAAATTGTTTTTCCATGTTGGTATGAATATATTTCATTTCTCAGGAAGCTCACCTTATTACCATCAAATAGACAGAGGCGGACATGTCTGCTGAGAACCTGTATGCTCATTCCTGGAAGAGGAATCATTTTACAACTCCATAGTGTCAGAATCAATGAAACACGATTTGCTCTTGACTTAATCTGAAAAGAAATGATAAAAAAAGGCTTATTTTTAAGAATTACAAGACAAATTAATTTTCCAAAGCATCTTCCATTAAACACCTTTAATAAAATGTACAAAGAATAAAAAAAAGGAAAGAAAAAATTTTATACACATACCCAATAAAAGTTTCAAGTCTGTTCATTTTAAAGCAAAATTTCAGTTGTTTCAGATAAATATTTCATAAGTATTTATATTTGAAATATTTACACTTTTTTTTCTAACTACAAAACATTATGCTGGAAAGAAAAGTTAGTACTACCAGGTAAAATAAATGACCTTACTTCTGAATCACTATATTCTAGTCCTCAGGTACATTCATTCCTACAGTTCACTCTTAACAGTATATGAGTAAATGTAGACATACATAGTAAGTGCAGACAGACATAACAATCAGTGATACCTCTCATTAATATTATCTATATAACTTCTCTTTGTTCTGACTCCAAGCAATTATCGAATTGTCCTGGGCTTATTATATAGATATTTTGGCAGAATGCACTGATCATTTGATGACAGTACTCAGATCTGTTTCAGATACATTCAGGTATATTTCAGCTGTGAATAAATAAGTTGGTGTTCTGTTCTTTTCTTTTTTAAGTATAGCTTTAATTCATTAAACTTTACTTTCTGCTTTATGTTCATGGGCTTTTTCATTTAAATAACATATCACTGCAAAAATTATTAAAAAATATCTAATGGGTTGTCACTTTTATCAATTTAAAAAATGAGAGTTGAATATTTAGTTACTGGGCACAAGTTCATAAAATTAACTGCCATTTATTCAAGGATGAACACACTACATGGATCAAATATAACATCTTTGTTGACTTGAAATAAAGAATACTTAGTACTAAGAAGGTTCCAAGCAATGCTTGGGTAGAGAGGAAAAAAGGCACTAAAATTCTGCACCAATACTCCTCACAAAACTTGACTACATTCTGTCCTCTCATTCTTCCATTGAGCTCTGGAGGAAGGAGTGAGAAAAAGAAGGTAAAGTGGAAGGGGGAGTAACATACTCTGACATGGCTTATAGATGCTAAAAATTAGGAGAATAGAATTAAACTTCAAGAATATTTTTCTACTTTAAATAATAGGGATACCAGGAATGTTTTACTATTACTGCTGTTGTTAGCTGCCGTTGAGTCATGGAGACCCCAAGCATAATGGAACTAAACAGTGCTCAGTTCTGCACAATCCCCATGATCACTTGTGGATCAGAACACAACTGTGATCCATACAATTTCCATTGGCTGATATCCTGAAGTAGATTGCCAGGTCTTTCTTCCTAGTCTACCTTAGTCTGGAAGCTCCTTTGAAACCTGTTCAATCTTTATAGCAATGTACAAGTCCCACTGGCAAACAGGTGGCAGTTGTGCATGAGGTATATTGGCCTGGAATTAAACTCAGGTCTCCTGCATGTCAGGCAAGAATTTTACCACTGAACCATATCTGCCTTCTTTTTACTCTTAGCTTTCCCTAAAAAAAAGTACAGTCGTGAAGTACTGCCAACTTCCCCATTTTTACCTAATTAAAATAATAGTACTGTTGTTATTGTTGTTGTTGTTGTTATGTGCCATCGAGTCAGCCCCGACTCATAGCAACCACTCCTTGGGTTTCTGAAGCGGTATCACTACGGAAGTAGATTGGCCTCAGGCCTAAGGCAGTCACCTGCCACACACAATGCTGTTGTTATTAGGCACTGTTTAACTCATAGCAACACTATGTAGAACAAAATGAAACACTGCCTGGTCCTGTGCCATCCTCACAATCATTGCAATGTTAGAGCCTGTTGCAGCCATCTCATTTAGGATGTTCCCCTTTTTTTGCTGACCCTCTATTTTATGAACCATAATATCCTTGGTTAGGAACTGGTCCCTCCTGATAATATGTCCAAGACAGATTTCCTTGTTCTCTCACAGTATATTCAACAGTCTTTGCCAACACCATAGTTCAAAGACATCGATTCTTTTTTGGTCTTCCTTATTCATTGTCCAGTTTTTGAATTTATATGAGGTGATAGAAAATACCATGGCCTGGATCAGGCACACCTTAGTCCTCAAAGTAACATCTCTGCTTGTTAACACTTTAAAGAGATCTTTTGCAGCAGATTTGCCCGATGCAATATGTCATTTGATTTCCTGACTGCTGTTTCCATGGACGTTGATTGTGGATCCAAGTAAAATGAAACCCTTGAGAATTTCAATTTTTTCTCTGTTTATCATGATGTTTCCTATTGGTCCTGCTATGAGGTGTTTATTTTCTTTGAAGTATAACCCATCCCACTACTACTAAATATAATGATGATACTTACTAATATTTACTGAGTTCTTATCATATGCTAGACACTGTTCTAAGCTCTTCACAAATATAATGTAATACTCACAACAACCCTATGTTGGGAGTATTATTATTATTATTATACCTTTTTAGAGATGAAGAAATCGAGGCAAAAATGATTAAGATCAAATTCTAGTACTAGTTTGTCTGTAACAATGGAAGACAAGCACAATGGAGGAAAAAAAACAAGATAAAGTCAAGCTAACAAAGTCTGAGTTTACTTGATTTGCAAAAATATCACTGTTTAAAATTATAATACAATAAATACATTTGTTTTGTTTTCAGTACGGATTACATCTCAACATAAAGAAAATAAAAATTCTCCTAACTAGACTAATAAGCAACATCATGATAAATGGAGAAAAGATGGACGTCAAGGATTTCATTTTTACTTGGATCCATAATTGATACCAATGGAAGCAGCAGTCAAGAAGTCAGACTATATACTGCATTAGGCAAATCTGCGGCAAAAGACCTGTTTAAAGTGTTAAAGAGCAAAGATGTCACTTAAACACTAAGGTGTGCCTGACCAAAGCCATGATATTTTCAATAGCCTCATATGCATGGGAAAACTGGACAATAAATAAGGAAGACTGAAAAACTGATGCCTTTTAATCTATCTTGGGAGAAGTATACACAGAATGTTCCTTAGAAGTGAGGATGATGAGAGTTCTTATACTTTGGTCACATTACCAGCCCCTAGAGAAGGACACATTACTTGGTGAGGTGAAAGGTCAGTGAAAAAGAGGAAGACTCTCAATGAGAAGGATCAGGACACTGGCTACAACGATGGACTCAAACACAGCAACAACTGTGGGGATGGTGCAGGACCAGGTAGTGTTTTGTTCTGTTGTACATGGGGGTGCTGTGAGTCGGAACCAACTTGATGGCATCTAACAACAACAATATCATGCATTAATCAATTTACATGCTATCTATATACTTATAATCATGACAAAATCTGGATAAGTTAGTTTTATTGGTAGTAACTATACTTACAGTGCCTTCTTTAACATCCCACATTAAATCTTTGAAGGCCAGCTGTGAAGGAGTGAGCTCTGGTTGTAAGAAGTAACTTGCTCGAAATTGATTCCCTGAAAAAATATTTTTGTCCTTTATTTTCTTATAAAAATGTAAATAATTCAAAACCCAAAACCCAACATGTTATGCTACAACATAACTTAGGACACAAACACTCCAAAATGTTAAGCCATTTACTAGGAATTTGCTTTCCAAGATGGATGCACCAAGATAGATTTACACATTAAAACATCAGCAGGAAAGAAATAAGAACACAGAGCTGATCATAAAACAGCTTTAAGAAAGACCATAAAGACTTCTGAGCCAATAAGCTGCCCCATGGTGAAGAAGACCTATTCAAATACTTTTGTAAAATACAAAAAGTCTATAACCACCTTTTGGACATTTTAGGAAATACATATAATCATTAGTTTCATTCTTAACATGGAAGGATTTTTATACTATTCTTTCACACTTTATTGTTGTTGTTAGGTGCCATCAAGTCAGCTCCAACTCACCGCAACCCTATGTACCACAGAATGAAACACTGCCCAGTCGTGTTGCCATCCTCATGATCCTTGCTATAATATTTGAGCCCATCATTGCAGCTACTGTCAATCCATCTTGCTGGGGACCTTCCCCTTTTTCACTGACCCTCCACTTTACCAAGCATGATATCCTTCTCCAGGGGATGGTGCCTTCTGACAACATGACCAAAGTAGGGGAGACAGTCTGGTCATTCTCACTTCCAAGGAGAATTCTGGCTGCCTTTCCTCCAGGACAGATTTGTTTGTTCTTCTGGCAGTCCTTGGTATTTTCAGTATCCTTTGCCAACACCACAATCCCAAAGCATAAACTCTTCTTCCACACTCTAGTTATGAAGAGTACTTAATACAAAATCACTTACTTATTCATTTTCTACTCTCTGTCAGGTTCTATGATAGAAGTTAGAAATTCAACTGTGAATAAGAGGGAGGTGGCCCCTGACCTCATTAGTTTACAACTGAATGAGTGATACAATTGAGGGAAGGGAGTAGACAGCAAATAAATAAAATAATAGTTGACTTAGAGCTATAAAAGGTAGGGGACCTACATTACTCAAGGAAAGTATCTCTGAAAAAATAGAATTTGCCCAAAAGCCTGAAGGATGAGAACGAGCTAGGTATTCAGGGAGAGGTGGGGAGAGCCATCTCAGCACAGGCAACATCAAAGCAGCCCTTCCACAGATAATACAATAACTCAGATTATATTGAAGACCTTCCCCCCTTTCCCCAAACAGGAGCCCTCTTTAAAATTAGCTTATGCATAAAAGTTGCCAAATACTAAGGAATCAAGAAATAAATAAGAAAAGCAGAAATGGTGAATAGAGGTAACTCTGGAAAAACCTTTCTGTTCAGGGTAGAGAAAAAGGGAGACTTCAGCTAGCATGGGATAGGGCTGGAGGGGACTGGTTCTTAAAGGTGAGAAGTATTGCATAGGTTAGTACTGCAGACAGAGACTGATGATACAAGGAATAGCTGATAACTAAAGGAATCATGGTTTTGAAAAAAGGATAAGGGCTGGAGCCCAGAGCATAGGTAAACAGACTGGCCTCTGATAGGAACAGGATCCTTGAAGAGATATGAAACTCACATCTCTTATCTAATGTGTTGTATGGATGTAAATATGCTAGTTATTTCTACAGTGTCTGACCTATTTTGATTTTAAGAAAGAATCACTCTCTTTTTGGACTTAACATAATTTACCTTAAGATAAATGATAAAATAGTTGGCAATCTGATAGACTGACACAAGAACTGCACATAACTTATAGCCTGAGATTATTTTTCTAATATGAACTTTATTTTTTCTTTCAAGGATGGTGATTATTAAGATAAGAATAGCCTACAACGTTACGTTTATCCTCATGGTCCAGGATGGCTCACCACCAGGTCACATTCTAGTCAATGGAAAATGGGGTAGGGACAGGAGAAGGCAAGCCCCTTCCCTTCAATCTCCATACTCAGAAATTACTAACATTGCCTGCATTCTCCCATGTCCCAGAATTTAGTCACATGGCCACATTCTTCTCAGAATGGCAAAGCAATCAATCAGAAGGAGACTTGGTTCATAACACTCTAAAGCTGCCATCTAACCACTTACAGCTCTTCCCTGGACTGTTACTTGTGAGAGAAGATTCTCTTACAGTTTAAGCCATATTATAAAATTCACACCTACATCCTCATTAATTCATAGACAATGGAGAATTTCATGGCTATTTTAAAGCATGAGTTAATCCATGTCTATTCCTTTAGGGAATGTCTTTGATGTATAAGCAAATAGGTGATAAACAGGTAGTTCAATTTTTGAAAATGAAACAAAACAAAAACCAACAAAACTTATATTTATATTTATAAATGTTTGTTATGCCAAACATGTAGAAAGATATCCTGATTACTGCAGGAGCAGGGGTAATTTGCTGAAAGGGACAATGGGGCCGATAATTTACTATATTACTTCTAATTATCTCATAATACTTTTGTAATTTAAAAAAAACCCAGTTGTGTAAAACTCAAAGACCAGTTATATAAGCTGAACATTCAGACTAAACACTGGCTGAGACTTCAGGGGGAAAAAAAAGAACGGCCTATAAATAAGAAATCATTGCCTTATTTATTTCATCAACTAGCAAGAAATTCACTACAGATAAAATCTCTAGGATCCTTTCCATCTCTAAAATTATATATATATAATGTTTTAAAATATGGGTAAGAATTTACTCCATAAGAAGAGGTCTTGAGAGAAAGAGAAAAATGAACTACCTTAAGTAAATACTCATATAAACTTATTTTACACATTCTTGAAAATAAAAGAGATACATTTATTATGCCGGTCATTATACATTTGTAATAATTCTCCACTGCCATCGAGTCAATTCTGACTCATAGCGATACCCACTGGGTTTCTGAAGCAGTAAATCTTTACAGAAGTAAATTGTCCAGTCTTCCTTCCACAGAGTGGCTGGTGGGTTTGAACCTTCTGGTTAGCAGTCAAATGCCTTGGGCACTGCACCTCCAGAGCTCCATTTGTAATAAAGAAATTACAAATAGACTTCAGAGCTCTTAAAATATTTTGTTATAAATCTAAACCCATTTGATAATTCATCTACTATATCCATTCCCATTAAAGAAGACTTTTTTAAAAAAAACTTTATTTCTCTTCTGGTAAGATAGGGGAATAGAAAGACAAGCTACATAAACCCTCTTCAACAAAGGAAAGAGAAGCCAATTGACACAGATACAAAAGATAATCCTGGAGCCCTGAGCTTTGAACAGAAGGATAAAGAAGTGGATTAAACATCAACTAGTAGAAGAACCTGAAGGAAAACAACGAGTAAGGAGACAAATGGAGTTGTGGACTGTCAGCTATCCTGATTGCATGGACAGCCTGAATATTTCTAAGTAGTCTTAGGACCTAAGAATTAACCTAAAAATCAGTTCTGCTCACCAACGGCTACATGGAGGACTGTGCAGGTGGCTGATGATTAAAAAGGGAAACAGTAAAGAAGGAGACAAAGTGAGCTGTGGACTTCTAACTATCTGGAGGGCACAGCCAATTTGAATGTTTACAAGTAGTGGCCATTTTGGATATTTAAAGTGACAGCATTTTCATTCAGATTCTAGTGACGTAAGAATAGGCTCTGCTTTCCAAGGATGATATGGACATACAGGAAGCTGACAACAGGAAAGGAGACAGTGGTGAATGCCTAAGTGCTGCGAACTAGAGAATAGAGGAGCACAGTACCCTGCTTACTCAGATACATCCAAAGAAAACAAAAATCTTGGGCGAATCACTCTAACATACAATCACCAATTAAATATAAACACAAAAACATCACAATGTCTTGAAGACAATAGACCATCACAGTCCACAAAAAGAAGCAAGATTAAGCAGTAGAAACAAGGAACTAGGATACAGACTCAGACTACATCTCTGAGGAAGAAGCAGCACTGGAACTCCCTGATAAGGAATCAAAAGAATTATGTTTAGGTATCTTCAATGGATTGAGAGACAAATCAAGGAAAACACTGACAAAATTGAGGAAAACACAGAGAAAACCCTAAACAATTTCAGAAGAGGATACAAGAATAAAATGACAAAATAGAAGAAAAATTAGAAATAATACAAATCAACAGATAGAAATCCAGAAGATTAATAGTAAATTTTCAGAAATAGATAACACAGTGAACAGCAAAGGAGTAGAACTGAATCAATGGAAGACAGAATTAGTGAGACTGAAGACAAATACCGCAATACTTCTTTGAGAAGGGAAAATCGGGAAAAAAAGATAAAAAAAAAAAAAAAGTGAAGAAAGCCTAAGGTTCATATGGGATACCATCAAAAAGAATAACCTACTTGTAATCGGAATTCCAGAACAGGAAGAAATAAATAAAACCACAGAGAAACTTGTCCAAGATTTGTTGGAAGAGAATTTCCCTGATATGATGAAAGACAAGAATATATACATTCAAGAAGTCCAATGAACTGCAAACAGAATAAACCCCAAAATAAAATCACCAAGACAAATCATCATCAAACTTACAAAATCAAAGACAAAGAAATAGTCCTAAAAGCAACACGGGAAAAAAAGTTATCTACAAAGGGCAACCAATAAGACTAAGTCCTGATTTCTCAGCAGAAACTATGCAGGCAAGAAGACAATGGGATTGTATATATAAAAACCTGAAAGAAAAAAAAATTTCAACCAAGAATTATATACCTGCCAAAATTGTCCCTCAAATATGATAGTGAAGTTAGGACATTTCCAGAAAAGCAGAAATTAAGGGAATTTGTTAAAACCAGACCAATCTTACAAAAGATGCTAAAAGTAGTCTTTTGAATAGAGGACCAACAACAGCAAACAACAACACGCATGATGACATAACCCAGAAACCAACTCAGTTATGGAAGTATCCAAAGTAAGTAAGCCTACAAGATTATAAACAAGGAACCAGAAACATCAATTCACAAATGAGGACAACTACAAACCAAAAAGAGGGAAAAACAGTGTAGTTACGGAACTTCTAAATAGTGAA